TATACATATATATTCATATATATATATATATATGTGTGTGTGTGTGTTTTTGTGTGTGTGTTTGTAAGTACGTATATGCCTATCTCTATATCTACTTATAGATTTATTTTATAAATATGTAGATATATATTTGCTGTGTGTGTATCTGTCAGATATGTTTATGTACTATGTGTATTCATATATATATATATATATATCGTTGGATGAGTGAGTGCATGGGTTGGTGTGTACATTTATTTGTTATTTTACCTTAGGTATATGCACAATGGTTACAAATCTATTTGACATACTATAACATGCGTCTTCCAGCAGACGATTTGTACAGCTTTCACTAAACGATATAAAGTGTACTGTCAAAATAATACCAGGAAGTGAGTAAATACGCAGCCTTCTGGAAATTGATTTACAATAAAAATCTAAAGGAAGGAAAACTTCAAACACTCGATGATACCAACTTGGATGCGTTGAGATGGTGGTATGTGTTGTACTGGGTTTGCTATTCAAGTTAAAAAGGTTTATTAGATCACTTACGTGCAAACCACTACCGACAAAACGCAACTCTTGTTTGTCATGTATATACCGACATCGCTCTGTTTTTGGGCATATGTACTATATTTGAACAGGGCGTATAAGGATGTGTATATGTACTTTTTTTTCTGAATATATATATACATATAGACAAATACATACGTGTATCTGCATATTCAATTCTAAACATTGCATTTCACAGGGATGTGTTCAATACATACATTACAATTGGACGTCGAAATTTAGATATCATATCAATACATTCACATCATAGTTATCTATGTATATATATATATATATATATATATATAAATATATATTTATATATATTTACATGTATATATATATTTACATGTATAGATATATATATATATATATATACATATATATATATATTTATATTTATTTTATGTGTATATATGTATTTATATATGAGTGTGGGTGGATAGGTGAGTGTGGGTGCGGGTGTGACTCTATGAATGTATTCTTAGATATATATGTGTGTGTGTGTGTGTGTTTGTGTGTGTGTTGTATATATATATATATCTCTCTCTCTCTCTTTTAGATTTTAAACATATGAGGATTTATCCATTAATCTATTTCTAATATGTGTATATTTATTTATTGGTGCGTGCGTGCAGATATGGGCGTGTACATGTGTGTGTGTGTGTATGTTTGCGTATGTGTATGTATATATATATATAAATACATATTCATATATGTGTTTATATGTATCTATTAGAAGTTTAGCATATTAATACTCTTCTATTCAAATATTCCTCTGAATATACATCTATTGATATATATAT